CATCGAAACCGGCAATCTTCTGTATTCTACGAACTTCTTGGATGGCGTTGAGAGCTTCAACTTCATTGTCTCTGGAATCGAGATAGTCGTCCACATAAAACTTTGTTATGATGGCTTGCTGGATTTCAGGATCTTCGGCGAATCTCTCAGCATTCAGGTTCTTCACGAATTGTGCGCAAACGGGGGAACATGTTGCGCCAAAAGTCATAACGAGCATTTCATAAGTGTCTGGATCTCGGTCAATTTCTAAATTCCTCCAAAGGAAACGTTGAGCACACCTGTCTTCTTTCCGGATACCAACTCTATGGAACATCTCGCGGACGTCACCGCAAAATCCGAAGCGCCGTTGTCGGAATTTCCATAGTATCGCTACTAGAGATTGAAGTAGATCAGGTCCAGCCATCAGGTTATCATTCAAGCTGACACCATGGGACTTTGCAGCCGCATCGAAAACTATCCTGATCTTGTTTGGTTTGTTTGGATTATGAACTGCAAAGTGTGGGAGGTACCAGGTGTGGGGATCAACAGTATCTGCTTCCTCTCGAGTCAACTTCCTGATGTATCCTTTTTCTTCGTAGTCCCGAATCTTGTCACAGTAGTCTCTTCCTAGTTTATCATTCTGTCGACATTTCTTCTCCACACATCGCATTCTCTGTAGTGCTCTATATCTGCTTTCAGGTAGCTGGATATCATCATGTCGCCAAAGGAGGCCAATTTCGTATCGTTCATCTACTTTCTTGATCGTTTCGTTCATTATTTTCAGTGCTCTCTCGTTTTCCACGGATAGTCGATCAGCTGTGACTAGCACGCCGAATGATTCAGTCGAGAACGAGTTTTTGACCAGTTCAAGCAATTCGTCTTCTGCATTTTTCTTCTCGCAGATGTGGAGGGTATGAGCTCGAAATATCTCGGCATCATTCCTTCTTGAATCGCAAGGACCGTGTACTGCCCATCCCAGTCTGCATTTACTCGCAACTGGCAAATTTTCCGGACCACTCCGTATTTGTCGAGCAATTATAAGGTTCGCGTTGTCTTGTTGAACCTTCCTGTATTCCTGAACTGCCTTTATCTATGGGATCTTTATGCAGGAGGAAATGGTGGTACATCTGGCATCCATCCTGGTCACATTCCTTCTTCAGTCTACATTTGAACTCATGATGGCTTCTGTTTAGGCAAGAAAAACATAACTTTTTCCTAGTCACTATCTTCCACCTTTCGTCTACAGGATCTTCTTTCATTTTGGGACATAACTCTTCTCTGTGCTCCTTTTCGCAGTAATAGCATTTATTATTTCTTTTCAGTTCTTGGGTGCTGAATACTCTCTCAGGTTTCTTGGCTTGAAAGTGTTGTTTAAACTGTCCATGTTTTTCAACATGGTAGCTTTGAGGTGTACTAACGTAGCACGCTGCATTTGCCATTTCCCCAATCCATTGTGAGAGATCTTCTAAATTCACTTGTCCTTTTCTACTGACTACAACTTCACCCCATTTCAATTTCAATGTATCTGGTAGTTTGTATAGAAGGTCTTTCAATAATTGTGGATTTTGGAGATGTCCTGTAGAATTCAGTGTCTTCATTATTGACACCACATTGCGAACTTCTGTTGAAAACTGAATGAGTTTCTCCAAATTTGTTTCCCTAATATAAGGTATGCTCCTAACATTGAAAAGCATAGCATCAATGATTTGTTCGGGTCTTCCAAAACGCATCTGTAGAGTCTGAATCACCAAATCAACATTTTCAGGTGTCAACATCATTCCTGCTACTGCTCCTTTCGCGTCCCCTCTCAAGCAGCTTTGCAATTTCAACATGATTTCTTCGTTGGAATATTCACAAAGACTGCATATATTCTGGAACTGTTTATAGAATAGGGGCCACTCTCGCGGGTTTCCGTCAAAGCGTGGAAAGTCCTTATCAACTGTGTGTCGTGCTAATAATTTTGAAGATTTATTATGAATGCTTGGCGGTGAAACAGATTTCAGAACATTAGAAAGAGTTTCACAAAGCATTCTTATATCATTGTTGGGATGTTCATTGTCATGTTTGCATACGACATCCTCAACTTCTTCTTCGGGTATTGTTTCTATCCAGTCTGCCACTGTCTCCACTTTATTTTCTTCCACGAAACTTCTATTATTTCTTAAAATATCGATAGATATCCTAGATTTTTCACTGCAGCTTCTCATTTCTTCTTGTTCATCCAATTCAGCATTCTGGAGATCATGTTCCATCTCTAGAAGGCGGATACTATTTTCGGTTTCTTTCTGTTTCTGTTCAAATTCGAACTGTACTTGTCTCTGTTTCTGTTCCAACTCTTGTTTTTTCTTCTCTTTCAATATTGCTAGCCTCTTCTTTTCTAAGCTAATGAGAGAACAAATGGAACTTCGAGATTTCTTCGTAGACGTCGATGGTGCCGCAGCATCAGAACGTGTGGCTATCACTTCCGTAACAATTTCAGCGGGTACATTATCAGTGCCAAAGTTACCTGGCCACACGAAGTCGACTGATAGATTGCGATTAACACCAGCACATTCTCGTCTAGGTCTCTGATCTTTCTCCATAGTCGTGATCACGTCGGGGTCACCAAATGTTGTTGCCTTGCTCAAAATAACCGTCAAATGTTGTTGCCTTGCTCAAAATAACCGTCTGGCCAATAAATAAATAATATTTTCGTCTTTTTAGATTTTATTGACGTTTTGTCTTGACAAGTTATTTATTATATTTTTTTTAACAACTTTCTCATTCAACTATTTTTCCAATCAAAACTAAACAATCCATGAAAACAAACAATATGCATATTATACAAGGTCCGTTTCTATCTGGGCTCGCACACATGGTTTTGAAACTAAGTATGCTATGAGAAATACGCTACTTTTCATAGCAGTAGTAAAAAATCCTTTTTATCTCTGTGTTCTTGTTTTCTGAATGTGAACAATTTGATACTATGAAAAATTCAAATAAATATTTGCTGAATGGAATTGAAGCGGAGATGTGGAGGTTTTGAAAAGTACACATACCTTTCATCATGCTAATTTCCATTAATACATAAGGAGAGCTATTTTTATTAGAATTCTAGTAAAAGTCAATAAACATAGACCTTCTTTGAATTCGATTATATAATTATTTTATCTTGTATAATCGAGAAACATTTTGAGCTTGTGATAGATTGATGAAGTTAACCATACTTCACGAGTTGGTTGAGGAATCCAGATAAAACAAGTGGAAATTTTTCATAAATAAAGTTGTGAGTTGATATTTCTCATGTAATTAGCTCTCGTTTTTCGTTAAAGTATTTTGTTTTCATAGATGATGGGAACAAACCAATAAAAACATCAGCATGTTTACGATATTCACGTGTACATCAGCTATTATACTCCTGCAATTCGTACAAAATTTGTGCTGGCATGAATAACCATCAATAATCAATATGATCAGATTTCCAGAGACAAAAAACATCATTCTGGTCAGTGCCGTACGTTCTCATTGAAATAAATAGGGGCGATTTTTCATGAAATCATATAATATTGTTTTTTTGCAATCGACTCAATAGTCGTCCATTTTTATTCCGAAATTAGCTCTCGAAGTTGACTTTTCTCTTACTGTATGTAGGTATGTTGCTAGGCAATAATTTCAGTGTCTAGGAGCCCAAATTCAAGTTTTACTCCTGGGAACTAAAAGTCTGTCGGATGACAGCTGATATAATGGGTGCTTTGACACTGACTTGCTCAAGTGAGTCAAATTGGTGGTAACTTCACTAATATTTTATTAAGGAGGTATCTCTCTAGTATCATGATTATGAAATTATTCGGAGCCTCAATGCAATAATATAACCTCTTTCGTCTCATGCCAGGTAATGAAGCTTCTCGTTTTATTTGTAAACGTCATTCTGTTCCCACCACCCCTACCAGAATGGAACAAATAAAACGCAACTAATGCCTTAAATATATTTCCATTAAATCGACCCCTTTTTATTTCAATAAAAACGCACCGCACTGTCCATAATGATGCTTTTCTCTCAAAAATTATATAGAGGGGTGGGGGGGGGTTCATAAGATTCTTGGATCTTCCACCAAGATTCGTGGTTCTTGTTTCAAGTCGCAAGAGCTAAATAATTGTCAGATGAGTCAATATCTCTGTGGCAAGAGGAATTTATCCCAATTGAAAGAAATCTCATTCGAGAAGAATTTCAAAAAATATCAAGAACCATGGATTTCTCAGAACAAAGACGCTTCTCCCTCACAAGATATTTACTCATTGTATAACAAAATGATTGAGGTGTATTTTTGAACATGAATGAATCATAAGAAACAATACTATGAAGTTAGTTCCCTGCAGAATAATGCCTTAAATATATTTCCATTGAAATCGACCCCTTTTTATTTCAATAAAAACGCACCGCGCTGTCAATGATGATGCTTGTCTCTCAAAAACTATATACAGGGGAGGGGGAGGGGGGCGTTTTTCATAAGATTCTTGGATCTTCCACCAAGATTCGTGGTTCTTGTTTCAAGTCGCAAGAGCTGAATAATTGTCAGATGAGTCAATATTTCTGTGGCACGGGGAATTTATCCCAATTGAAAGAAATTTCATTCGAGAAGAATTTCAAAAAATATCAAGAACCATGGATCTCTCAGAACAAAGACACATTTTCCCTTACAAGATATTTACTCATTGTATAACAAAATGTTAATCCAGATCATAGAATACCTTTACTCAGGTATATAGAGCTTTTCTGTAAGTGAATGAAACGATGATGGGTCATCATCATTGTTCATAAATATAACCTTTGAACATTCTTCAACTCAGTCGATACAGGGCGTTCAATTTGTATAAGTCATGCGAAAGTTGATGATACTTCTAGTATAACTCAACTGGTCTGGCGATCAGGTATATCCCAAGAAATGGAGTCATAATCATAAAATGAGAATACTGTGGATATGATTTTTTTTATATACAATTAGTGATATTTCAAGTTCATTGAACTCGTGTTTTTTTTTTCAGATGGAACTTTGCAGTCTTGTGCGAATGAAGGTGCTAGAATAGCAGTGGATAGTATCGTCAAAGGTCGCTGTTTTTCTTGTGTGTGCAAGGTAAATCCAAAAATTTTATTATTCCTATAATGGTAGTTTGAACAGACTATCTCAGAAGAATTCAGAAAAATGTTTACCAAATGTTGACAGTAGAGTAATCATAGGTTCTCAAAAACACAAAGCATTGGCTGAGCCAATTTTACACAATGAGAACTAGAATGCCGATATCTTCTATGTCCAATACTTGTACGCTTTTTTATTGAATACGACTGTAATTCGATCTTGATGAAGGTGAATCCTGAAAATCAACCATATGTCAAAGTGGTCCCAGCAATCGCTTGACAGAACAAACGGAACGAAAGTCAGTCGACCACACTTTTCAAGCTTCAAAAACATGTAACTGGTTTCAGCACTGCGGTCATCATCAGACAATGCATGAGTATATTTAAAAATAACATATGATAATGATAAATCCTGAGAAGGAAAAATCATGGACATACCAAATTGAACAAAATATCAGGAGATGATATAAAAATTAATCATAATCATGGCAAATGCAACACATGAAAATTTTGTCGGTGGGTTATTAGATCCATGCACAAGAAAGCATTCTTTAAATTCGCTGAAGAGCCAGAAAAAATTGGTTCTGATTTCTAAAATTTGTTCTAAAATTTGTTCTATCCGTCATTCGGTTTCCCCCTTACGAGCAACCCTCAAAAGTCTTCGAAAGTCTTGTGCGAGCAAGGAATGACGGGGGCCTTACCTTTTAACGTGTGATCCCAAACACTTTCTTGGGCCATCAGAAAAATTTCTGCAGTCGACGGGGATCGAACCCACGACCGGCAAGCGAATGCGAATTAGAATATAGACACTCTGTCCGCACGGCTACCTGGCCACCACATAAGGTTGAACATGATTAAAACAAGTTGAAAATTTATTTGATACTACATTGGTTGTACCAAACGAAACGACAGCAAAACGAATGCAAAACAAATTCGACAAGATAGACAATAGTTTTATTAGGATTAAAAGTGACATTTTGTTTGACAAGCGAATTTTCCATTTGCGAGGCGGAGCGTCTAGCGGAGCCCAGCGGACGCAAAATTTGCGAGTCAAACAATAGTAGATTGTTTCATTAGGATCAAAAGTGACCCTTTGTTTGACAAGCGAATTTTGCATTTGCGAGGCGGAGCGTTTAGCGGAGCCCAGCGGACGCAAAATTTGCGAGTCAAACAATAGTAGATTGTTTCATTAGGATCAAAAGTGACACTTTGTTTGACAAGCGAATTTTGCATTTGCGAGGCGGAGCGTTTAGCGAAGCCGAGCGAAAGCAAAATTTGCGAGTCGAACAAAGTCACTTTTGATCCGAATGAAACATGCTATTTTTTCTGCAACCAAAACAGTTAACTGAAATAAACATGTGAAGTAACCACCAATGCCGTGCCATATGTATGCAATGCAACAAATATTGACAAATAATCCATGTGGTGAGAATATTCTACCTGCATTAACAGCAGGTTAGGTTTTCTAGAATGTTCGAATTGTAGTTTCAATATAAATACAACCACAGAGTGAGATATTTGTGTATGGACCAGGTGCTCTAATGGCAAATACCGCGCCAGTGCCAGCTATAGGAACAAGACGTGGAAAATGTTAGGTTAGTGAGCATATCAACAATGATAATAGTGATCATTTATTCCTCTCCATACTACACTGTGTTTGACTTGATAATCAAATGAAGCTAAACAATATCGTTGTTTGAGACAAAAAAACTATTGCTTGCCGTGATTATTCAAAAACAAGTTATTCATCCCGAGAATAACGAATGAAATACAGATCAAGCTTCAGGCTTCACTCATCGAAACAAAACTACTTAACTGAGATATTTATAATTCCAATACTGAACTATAATAAGGTGTATTTATGTCTCCAGCATGGGTATGAAATGCCAAATCTGCTGAAATCGGAAACAAATCAGGTATGCGTCTCAACCCAAATAACCAACCGTTACAATGTTGTTTATTCTTGATGACGTCCAGTACATCCTTTTTAGTTCCTAGGAGCCTAAGTTCAACTTTAGCTCCTAGGAACTAAAATTCAACTTTAGCTCATAGGAACTAAATAAGTTGCCTAGCAACATACCTATTTTTGTGTCAGTAATAGAAACGTCACTTTAAGAGCTAATTTTGGTATCAAAATGGACGACTTTTGTGTCGGTTGCAGAAAAATTCATTTTTGATCCGAATGAATGCTTTTTTTTTAAACCGAAAGAATTAACTAAAATAAATATGTGAAGTAACCACCAATGACTTACTTGACAGATTATTATAATACCTTGCACTAATTCAATACCATACCCGAAACGTGGATATGCAACAAATAATCCTTGAGGTGAAAATATTTCTACCAGCATTTTACCTGCAATATACAGATCAAGGTTTATTCGATATGTTCGAATTGTAGTTTCAATATAAATACAACCACAGAGTTACCCATTTGTGTATTCTATTGAATCGATGAATCGATGAATTAATTTGGACCAGGTGTCAGCCCTAATAGCAAATACCGCGCCAATTCCAGGTAGAGAAAAAATAAGTAGAAAATGTTGTTAGTGAGCGTATCAACAATGAGAATGGCGATTATTTATTTTTCTGCATATTCCACTGTGTTTGACTCGGTAATTAAAAGAAGGTAAACAATATCGTTGTGTGAAACAAAAATAGTATTTTGAAAAGAAGAACACAAATTTCCAAGTCTGCCAACCACACCTTATATAAAAGATTAAAAAACAGTGACCGGTTTTGGCACAACGGCCATCATCAGACTGTGCAGTACAGTCACGTTTTACAGAAATCTAATATTTTTATTCGTTTTCGAGATATTGGCGTGCGGAGTTTTAAGTGGAAACCCCTGTATAATTGAGACAAATTAACTATTTTCAATCACTCTCATCGTGATATACATGGAAATAACTGTACGTAAACCCTGCTGGTTGCTATAGTCAACCTTCATATTTAAAATATTTGAAATTTGCGAATTTGAAATTCGTTTGTTTCTCTTCGAGACATTTGCAAATTTCTATCTTTTAGGTAAGAATGGTATCTTCAGTGAATATAATAAGCATTGCAAAAAAAATTGATTATTGTATCCTAATATTTTGCGTTAGTGGTGGTAAACTCTTGTTGAATTTGTGCGTTGAATTAATATTCAAATGCCACTGACCTACATTGAAAACAGAAATGTAGAGTATATATTATCATTTACTGAATTGCAATAGCGAAAAGTAAGTAACTATTATTTATTGATTGATGGATGGTAGAATATGAGTTTGTCCTGTCTCCCGCAGTTTTCTTCCTAATGATTGGGAAAAATCGAGGGAAAAATACTCTCCTACTTATAATCTTCTGATTATGTCTCCTATTAGAGTGGTTTGCTGCATGCACTCGTTTTGCTATAGCATCATTTTCAAACATCAATAATGAATCGTCATCATGTCATCATAGGCTTCCGCGGTAGGAATTAGAAGACATTTTGAAATATATTTCGAATGCGAAAATTTCAAAGTAACTAAATATGAAGGTTGCCCATCAAACAGCAGGGTTGACGTACAATTATTCCCATAGATATCACGATGGAAGTAAGTGAATATTCAATTTGTTTAAAAAATATAACATGATTTTCCAATACGAAATGAGTGTGTTGCGAATCATTCGAAGAGAGATAAAGATATCGAATCGCGGTTAGCGCCAAAATGTAGCTGTTTCCATGCTCTTTACGATCAAAGATCTATCTATAAGACGCGGTATGAATTAGCGACCGTAGACGGTGTCAGATTCAAAATAAGTGTGCAATGATCTCACAAACGAGCCCAAGTTGATAGAATTTGGATAAGGGATATGGAAGGTATAGCAAATTGAAATAGTTATCTATTATAAAAAGGAAGAAAGTATTGGAATTTAGGTCGAGGTTGTGTTGTCTCCTGACGCGTTGTGTAGAGATACAAAAACCGAGAGCTAAAATCTAAAATTTTACTATTCATAATGAACTATTTGTTGTGACAGGAGAAACGACGATTCAATATTGAGAAGATATTACATTATCATAAAATCAGAAAATTATCGATGTGAAATTTTCAACTGGTTGTAAACCTGTGTTCGCAGGTTTCTTTTTGTAGCCATCTTTCACTGTTGCTATGGAAACCTTTTGAAATAATCGAATATGTGTCATTTAGATTCTGTGATTTGATTCTAAAAAATTGCGAACAGTGGTTGTTTAGTAATTTACGTAACCGCGAAGTGTAATAAAAGATCAAAGGACTATCAGTTCTTTCTCGTAGACGGTGTTATTTGCTCATTTTTCGGGAATGCCACAACAAAAGCCATCAAGTAACAGTGCACCTATATTTCCGAGAAAAAAGTACTCACTTATTCCCGTGCGAGAATGTAAATTATGGAAAGTGGCATTTTGTAGACTGCCAACAGAGATAAAATGTCAAAGTCGTTTCCTGTCACAGAAAAAAAAATATTCACAAGCTTACCCCACTATCATTATTCAAGATGCGAAAAAAAGTCTGGAGACCAACCCGACGGAAAATTGTTGAGATAATTCGAATTTCTCGTTGTATCATGGCAACTTTCGCCCCCTTTAGGTCAATTTGAACACTTCAAGATGTATTGAAACAATTTCTTATTGTGGCCATAATATCGTACCTGGCCGACCTGAGTAGGGCACCCTGTATTTACAGAATGATTGATTAAGAATGGGTAATTTCTGAACTACAGATACTAAACACCAATTTTATTTTGAAATTCCTCAGTGACGTTTAAATTTCGGAGTTGCCAATTTTTTAACATAGAAAATACGAATTCGTATCTTATTTTGTGATTGCTCATAGAGGGCGCTAGTGGGACTTTGATATTTCAGTGAAGTTAAAATCATCTCTTTGACAAAAAAAATCGCTCAAGGTAGGCATATTGTATTCACCTACCTCATCCATAAACTAAACTTACATTGGCTTGCCCATTGCCCAATACTTTTATATCTCACTTTCCCAACTTGAA